ATTATTGTATCAAATTCATGATAAAAAACAACGCAAAAAAATCGAAATTAAGAGATTATGTAGAACAATAAATAAGTAGTACGTGACACCAAAATGTGAGTAATCTTAATGAGCCGCTGAAATTTGAAAAATCTCAAAATTGCTGCTCGTTGTTTGAGATTGCTATTGTGCACTTAGCTTCTAAGCCAATGTACTCAATACAATTACTACGTTCTTCATGATATTGTATAAACTGTCCAATTTTGAAAATTGTTAAACTGTCTAAGCAATCGATTCTATCATCGCAATCACGCATTGTAGTGAATCCAATACAACCATTTACAGCATTGAGTAATTCCTGTAAGTTAACATTGACATGGCAAGGACAAACAGTAGTCGAGACAATACTATAGCGATGCTGGAGCCAACAATGTCGGAAGAGACGAACTGATCCCCAAATACATGCGGCCACGGGAAGGTCAGACGTCTAGACGTCTGAAACAATAGGGGATTCCCCAGAGTCAGGTATGGCAGCCCCTGGCGTCGATGGCAATGGAGGCAGCGATTGGAAAGCATGTTTTGCTTATCAGCTTTTTCAAGAACGATTTTTTAAAAATCACTGTCTTCTAATTGTTATGTTGGAATTTATAATTGACGTGATTTCATTCGCCTGACAATCAATCAAAAAGTACGTCTAGCTGAAAAAAAGGGCGTCTAAAACCGGTGTCATCTCTAAGTTCAGAACTGAATTTTTGAAGTACGTATGAATGAGTTCTGTTATATGCATATTTAAAATTGTATTAAAATTGATTTGATAACGCATATTGACAGGTACTTTAATCCATATCTAACTATACATCCGATCAGAAAATAATTGACCCCGACCATGGAGAAAGGATTTAACACAGAGATTAATTTCTGTAACTCTCGTTAATAATTTCGTGTTTCTATTTGTATACCCTGTCGATATCTGTAGATTAAATATGTAAGATATATGAGAGGAGGGAAGGTGAATGAATGAAGAAAACCAGGAGAATAAATAAGTATTAAGAAAGCAAGCAAGAACTGAACAAATCGAAATGACAGGAGAGATACAAGTAATAAAAAGGAGCCGATACAACAGTGATAAAAAACCTAGAAAGTTAAGAATTTGCTTTCTAAGATCGCTTTGAGATATCTTGGGTATCCAAATCTTGAAACCATGTTTTGAAACAGATGACTACTCTACATTCATCTTTTACCACAGCCGTCTAATTTAATCGCATTCATTTTAGAGTACACTAAGAGTATTGTACTCTGTATAAGATTTGTGTTGACAAGGTTTTTGTTGGTGTGAGTGCCCCTATGTAATTTCTACCACCTAAGTCCTCGCATTATGTGAATATAAATAGATTCTTGAGATAATGAGCACAATCTGTAGCCATAAAGTGGAATAAATAAAACTGAATTGTATTTATTATCTTTATCACTATTTCCTAACTCTGCATATGTGAATATAAATTAACTAGAATCATGAAATTAATTTAAAAAATACCGTTTAACTATATAGCTTACACGCTTTCAACATTTGGAGTCTGGGAAGTAGCATGATAAATATTAAGAATCGTTACGATTCATTTATCCGGAGGGTTTTAGTACTTAATGAATTGCGAGATGACCGCAAAAGAGAGTGACACGAGAAAGTATAAACGAAAAAGTAGTCAGAGAGTGTGAAGTGTCTTAAGTGTCTGAAATAAAGAACTGGAAAACCGAACATGCTCCGTGTTTGTTGCTTCAGGACTTTGAGCGTTTCCAAGAACTTCGTATTTTTGCTTCTTATTTCTAAGGTGAAATAAGCGGAGAGGAACTAAAGATCCTTTGCCTTTGATATCGTCTACTCTCTGATGTGTTTGACTTTGCTTTTGAAGTCGTAAACTGTTTCAACAAAATTTAATTATAAATTGCTCAGCACGGAAATGAATTGTTTTCGATTCGTAACGGTGACATTCATGTGCATTAAAATGTTTGAAGTACTCAGAAATACATATATTAAATAGAATTATTCTGGGAAATATCAATTAATGTCCTGTGAAAGATATGAGAGAAAAGTTCAAATTAGAATATTACGAAATAATTAAAGAATTGGATTATATCCAAAAATGCGACATCTTGAATTAGCGCATGGCTAGGAGCATAAATTGCAGCTAAGAAAAAATATTTAAGTGTCCACGAGTTCGCAGTCCTCCAACTACGAAAGATCTTTGGCGATTAACAATGGCGATCTTTGGCGAATTAGATAAGAAAACTTTTGAAAGTTCACAACCACAAACCATTAAAGAATAGCTTCAAACAATGTACAACTCACTCCACAGGATAAATTTCATTGCTCGGCGGATTAACACCGTGTTGGCCTAGGATTTCATCGGAACCGTGGGTAACACAACGGTTGTCCGGAATTTAAGGTTCATCCGCTCAGAAAGATTTGTAATGGGAAATGGGACATTTTGTCTGAAGCATTATCCCGCATGTCTTCAACACCCAACCGATAGGAAGTAGAAAGCCAGGAGCTCCCATTAGAGGGCGGACCATAAGAGGGTGGCGACAGCAGGAGCTGGCAGAAGACGACGGAACGAGTTTCAGAGAAGCCTCTCTTTATAAATATGTTCGTGGCCACGCTCAGTTTAAAATAATTCCGCACATTCATCTCGCCCCGTGTTGCATAAGGCTGGCCTCGCCCCTCCGCCACCACCACCGCCGCCGCAGTCGTGTAGCTGCTTGCGCCCACGTGACCCCGCCACATTCCCTCGAAGGTGGGGCGGAGTGCTCCAGCGTCTCCGCTGGCCAATGGGAGGGTCGCCCCGCCGGAAATTTTTGCCCGCGCCTTCGTAAGCCCCTAGTCTGGAGAGGTGCCGCCGCTTCTCCTCTTTCCTCCTTCTCGCCAATATCTCTTCACATCGCCTCCTCTGTTCATCGCCAGATCCCCCGCCATCCTTCTTCTGGGCTCTCGTCTTCCGCGCCCGCCTCCACCGCGCGGCTGCTTTCGTCCTCTCCCGCCCGCCCCTCCCGCCCAATCCCGCCCCGCCTTCTCCTCGCGGACCACGCCCTCTTGCAGCCGGTGCACCGGCCACGGATGCGCCGCTTCCTAATATGTAGCAAAGTTCCTGGAGTGCATACCATGCGATTCGTTTAAGAGGGGAGGGGGCGGAATTCCTTCTTCAGAGCATAACTTCTCTCCGCCCACACATACACAAATCAGGAAAGATATATGCTCGGAATATTACGTGTAAAATCATACAATGCTGAGTTAGTGGAAAATGGTTAGACAATGGGTTGGATTAACGCACTTTTCAGAGGAAATTATCGCTCGTCATTGGAAAAGAAAACTTTCTCGGTTTCATTCTCGCGGATTCTTCCGCCATTTTCCCACAATTTGAACTTCTAACATTGAAGCCCGAATAGGGTTTGAATTTACATCATAAGATTATTAACTTTGTGAAGTGTTGTAATAAAATTTATGCACACAAAGCCACGTTTATATAAGTATTAACGAATGGAATTTTCAATATTAAACTACTATTATGAGTCCCATGAGTTATCGACTGATCGCACTTATCTCCGCGTCTTATATCTTTCTTTGTAAATACCTGTATAACAATAAAAATAACATCCTTTCTATTTGTTTTCATCACTAAACTAAATTGTGATGATATTTAGTGTAGGTTTTAGTTTGAGGTTTTCAGCTAATTCTCACACTAACTCAATTATCTATCATTTGACTCTTATTATATAGGATGTAATGGTAGAGAGTTTCTTAGTTTATTGTAACTTAATTTTTGAATAGTATAACTTTTTTTCGAAAGCTTCGGAGTCTTATCGTACTGGTATGTTATTAGTTATCCTTAAAATAAGTGGAAGAAAGGGAGAAAACGAATATATACTTTCATATATATACTTTCATCACCATCTTACGTAACAACTTCAAATTATTCTGAAAAAATCGCGGAGATACCCTAAAAATAAATTATGAGGCTTAGTTGCTGTTAGAGGCTAAGGACTTTATCTTGACCCCCTCTCAAGTAGCTGTCAGCACGAGCGGAGAGGAAGAAGCAGCAGAAGGGGTTATAATACAACCACGAGGTTAAAGGATTTTTATTTTGACAATTCTCGGTCTTCTGAGACCTCTGAATTTTCAGAATCAATAAACAAATGAGGAAAACAAGAGAACAGAGAGACTACTATTGTTTTTGAGGAATTTGGATTATGAGAATCAAGAATAGTTTTTTGGGGGTAGGAAGCTACACATTAGTTGTCGAAAATATTGATAGTAAAATTTAATGAAAAGAAATTAAAAAATAGAAAATATACTTGAAGATATCGGAATCTTGTTAATAATTTGACTCGGAGCACTTTGAATGATGAAAAGATGTCTAAAACTCCTTGTTTCGTGAGGATTTTGCTGAGAATAATTCGATTTATTCGGGTCCTTGTCTGAAATCCTAGGAATCTCCGCCATCACAGACGCGCGGAGACGCTCGCACTCCATCACAGCTCGAGCAGCGACGAGAGGACTGCGTATCCAATCGAGAGCGGAAGCACTGTCGCACTGTGGCCGCAAGCAGCACTTGACCGTCGCACCGAACCAACGCACCCAACGTTGTTTGGACGAGCTGCGAAGCCGACACTGGATCTCACTGTCGACGCCGAAGCGACCGACACGCCGCGAGGGAACACTCGTCTTCCACCCTGGGTGCTGGTGCTCAAAGCCGAGATGCCTCACGAGGAATGGGACGTGGAGAAACGGGCTGGCGGTAGATTTTTACGAGATTGCAATTCCACCACCAGCTCCTTTCCCGCGATCGCCAGGAATCGGTCACTTGTCATAACCATGGATGCGAGTAGTTCAACGGAAGCTACGGATGCCCGGCTGCGCGTTGTGGATTCTTCGGACTGTCCACATGTCAATTGGGAGCGCGTGGGGTGTGGCGCGGCGCGGCGCGGCGCGGCGCGGCAGCTAGGCCCGCGGGAGCGAGCGACCCACCTACCTTATCGGTTGTCGTTGGGTAGGCAGATGGCCGGAACGCGGGCACCGGCGGAGGAGGGTGGCTTGCCTTCCAGTCACTGGACTACCACGGAAATTCGAATGGCGGTTTCGCCGGCGCGCGCGCCCTAGTCTTTCGCGGGGTGGCTGCTGCACACGGCACCCAGCGCGCGGTGCAGGGGCGGGGCGCTCGGGAGTGGGGTCCTCGCGACTAGGAATAGCCCACTGGCTCACACGCCGGCTATTTTCGGGGGCGGCGGGGAGCGGCGGGCCCGCCGCCTTCNNNNCCTCCCCGCCCCCCCCCTGCTACCTCGCCGACGATGCAGCCTCCGGCCGCCGCACCTCGCGTCTCTCTGTCAGGTGGATCGACGAATGTTCGATTACCACCCATCAACCGACGCCCATCGACTCCCCAGGACGAATACTCTTTCAATACGTTACTGACTTTCCTCTTCTCGTGGGGCGTGAATCAAGAAACTCAAGAGTGTCGATGTTTGGTTGATCGATTGCAGAAGAGATTGGTAGTTGACATATGTCACGGACCTTGTCGCTACTTGTGGGGGCCGAAGATTTCGCGCCATGGTAGATGACGTCATCTTGGATAAAGAGTGTACATAGTGAACCGAGACAGAAGAGTGTGTAGGAATTCATGCTAGAATTAGCGTGACGTCATTCAGATTTGATGCCAATTTCCGCTGAGACTAAACAGTTTTCACTAATTGAAAATGTTTATAATATTCTCACCTTCGAAAGGTTTATAAAACACGTTTCAAACAATTTCTCGCAAATATTTAATATATTGAGTAGTACTTGTGTTAAATTAACATTTATTCTTTATCATTTCAAAACTTCAACAGTTTTGCGTGGTTTCATGTCTATCTTCTTTACTTTTGCATATATACTTCCGACCAACATTATGTATCTTGCTATTCTAAAAATCGAATCGAATGAAAATTTCAAGGTGTAATTTGGCGGAGAGTGATGAATGATTTTCTAAGTACGCGAGAATTTCTTTCCGAAACCTGTCATTTGGCACGAACTACATCTTCCTTGCCAGAACTTATCTTCAGCAGTGGCACCACAGCCCGAATGGAGCGAGGCACCATAGGGGCGCGATAGCGCGCATCAAATGGGGCTTCAAACAGGTAATGTTTATTCACAGCAATTTGAGAAAATATTTTTATTTTTCTGAGTGATTTGGTTTTATTTTTGATTATATTGAATTGAAATATGGCCAAGTTATTTTAGACACTGAAAACGTTTTTACTACGACCGTGACTCTGCCATTATCTTTGTAAGAAACACTTTTCATTGAATATCGTTGACCTGGATGAACGAAATGGTTAAGAGCACGTATCAACTAAACATTATGGTTCGAAGGGTCACATTTTTAATTCTGCCCTGGGCATGAATGTTTATCTCTTGTCTTTTGTGAGTGTATTGTCGCGGTGGGTCTTGTATTCTCTTGACCGCAGATTCGAGGAACTCGCAAGGGACTTGTTCAAGGTGCGCTCCAGCGAGGTGTGAGGTGCAGAGTACAGGGTGACTGGGATTGACCTGAAGAAACTTTTCACCCGCCAATAGTATGCCTTTTCTATAGAAAATGTTTGTCAAGATAATTTAAAAAGGTATATTTTTGTCTGTTCTGTGGTGCGAATCCAATATTTAATTATAAAATTAAATGTAAATTTCACTATCTGGCCACAGTGTGACCAGGTGCTGTTATCTCCTTAGGACTGTTCAAAGAGTAGACAGTCTCAGTAGGGTGTCAAGAAAACAACAAATTTTTACGACAAAACAGCACAGGGATTTTCCCATTAATTTGTTTCTAATAGATTATATACAAAGTTTCAGCATTTTATTTTAACACTAAACTTTACCTTGAAGCTCTAAAACTTTACAAATAGTTACAAAACTTTTAAATTTTTATCCCAGAAATTTTATACGATTACCAATATGTTAAAAATAGATTATATACATTCATACGGACATGCTTCTAGAGAATATAACACAGAACAATATTAACTATAGCCTTTGCCACATATGACTTGAGACAAAACAAGTACAAAATTAGGCAAATTATTCCAGATTAAAAGGTTTTCATAACGCCCTTTGACAAACTATATATTCACAATAATGCTTTAAAAGTTTACTTGAAGAAAGTAAAATTAAAATTTTCTTTGTTCTCGAATCACTTATTTTTCTTCATCCCCTCATTCTCCTCTTCTCTCTCCTTTTTGTCCTCCTCCTTGTTCTCCCCTTCTTCTTCTTTTCTCTCTTCTCCTCCTCTTTATTCTTCTTCTTAGTCTTCTTCATTACCTACTTCTTCACCTTCTACTTCTTTTTAGCCTTCTTTATCACCTACTTCTTCACCTTCTTCTTCTTCTTCTTCTTCTTCTTCTTCTTCTTCTTCTGCTTCTTCTTCTCCTCCACATACTTCTTCTCCTCATCCTCTTCTTGCTCTTCCACCTTCTCCTTCTTATCCTCGTTTTTCTTCTCCTGTTCTGCCTCCTCCTCCTTCTCCTTATTTATCTTCTTGATTGGTATACTTTCTAAGTACCGACTTTCTTGTATCCATTCTCTGTTTCCTTCCTTATACTTCTTTTGATCTTATTTTCTTGCACTTACTTCTGAAGAAGAGAAAGTATTGTAAAAGTGCGCCGGAGCTCTACGCAACCCGCAGCACCCTCAAGTATTAACCGCGTCTTCGCAGCATATTCTGCCCCTACGATTGTGAAATTTAGGCCGGAATTATTATTAGAACGTTATCTCGGACAAGTAAATTGAATTTCTCCAAGACAAGAAGTATCATTGTGAATGCATGCCCGAACTTGAGGGATAATAGTAAATTTTAATAATAGTAATTTTAATAATAGTAAACGTGACAGCCATTGTAAACCAGGACATACAACGAACCCATTCTTGTTAGAGTCTTTCATCTATTAATTTTTTTGCAGAGCGTAGCGTGGTTAATCATCACGTGACCAATAACGTGTAAAGTGTAATGCATTGCAGTAGCAAAGCATTGTCAGGACCACTAGTAAATAATGTTTTCGTAGTTTCAACTATTATAGCAGTGAGATCTAACGAAATAAATATATAAATCTTTTAGAATATTCGTCAAATACCCGAATAAATGTATCGCACTAACAATTTGTATAAGCTTTAATAAATACGAGACATATAAATATGCTACAATTCGTGACACTCATCGTAATAATCTGGCCAAAACCTGACATTTGATAACGTCTGGTATTATTGATACCTTAAGTATATTGCTGATACGAATATTTCCCGACCGTAGTCAAAGGCTTGTAAATGTATATTTTTAATTGAATCGTATTTTGTTATCCACTTCATTTTTTAGACGTCTTCACCAATGATACACAATCTTCAGTTCGTAACTGACGAACATACCTTTTCCTGAAAGGTGAAATTTCATAACGAACTATCCACTTTCCATCTAATCGAATCTGGCGTTACACAAGGAAGCCTGATGATCTGATACTCTGAGACCTAATAATCTGGTGAAGCCTGATCTTGTTCTTATGCTTTACCGCTGACCTACACAAAAAAAGACACCATATCTGTAACCTGCGCAGATGACACAGCTGCATTAGTTTTGAACGACAATCCTAATAAAATATTCAAAATCCTCCAAACAGTCTGAATAAAGTTTGCTCGTTGTTAAAAAACACGGCGAATGCAACGAAATAAATCTAAAACAACACGTATAATTTTCACTTCAAGAAATAATACAAAGTAAAAATAAACGACACACAATTACCACAAATGTGAAATAGTAAAGTACTAAGGCCTTCTCGTTATCCAAAAAGTAAATTAAGGGAACTAACATAATGAAAAAATGAAAGCAGTTTCATCTAAATATGGGAAAACTCTACTGGATTATCGACAGGAAATCAATCCCTCACTCTCTCTCTCTCTCTCCCTCCGGAATAAAATATTATGGTAGAAGGCGATATTTAAACCGGTATAGACTAATGGATTGCAACTTTGGAGAATGGCTATTCAAATATCGAAATACTTCAGAGATTCCAATCGTAGTTTCTACAAACATAAGAAAAGTCCCATGATGTGTTTCTAAGAATTCTTTACACATTTATTTGCCCACTATCTTTCAAACCATTAGAGAATGCAGCAGAAGAAAGGAAAAAAAAACACTAAAAAACACTCAAAATATCTTGCATAACTAGTAAACGGCTTAGCCTAGACAATATGTTAGCGCCTAAATATTACAGCTGTTCGCATAGCTCTCTCTTCGTTTTGGTGTGATTGAAACATTAAATCCTCATTTGTTGGTTTTTATATCGCTTACATCCACCTTTCTACAATTAAAAAAAACTTTTCATTTGGTTATTTCTTCTATATTGTGTAATTATTGTTTTTCAGACATTTTGTGTATTTTCGTCTTGGGGGATTCAGATAATGTCTTTTGTTTTCGTTTTAATATGGATTAACGGCATTCGTACATAAGTTAGTGAATGAATTTCCTTTATTGTGAATGAATATGCAGAAAAAATACCTTATGATCAAATTTTTACAACTCTTACCTTCAAGAAAATTTCATTCTACTATATTAGAATTTTAGACATTTTGTCTTTTGTTGAATATTTTTAGACAATCGAGAAATGGTCTCAGGTGTCGATTTTCGCGAGAGTTACGAAATCCACGCGTGTAGTACACATCGTAGAATCTTTGTGTTAAATACAAAGATATTAGGCATGACAAACAGTACACATCACAAATCAGGAACAATTAGATTAGAAACTACTCTCATTAGATGTCAATTCAGAAATTATTTTCATCCAAAACTTGACATTCAGAAAATGCCGGTACCCAGGAATCTTTGAGATCATAAAAACAAGTTTTTATTGGTCTTAATCAAAATTATGTTGAATAGCAGAAACACATTTCCAAGTTAACAACCTTCGAGAATTCTTGTGTAATCTGGTCCCCATCGTGATTAAAACGCGGCCACAATGGCACGCTTTTCGCTCTCCAACGACGGGTGTTTCCTTTACATATTTCTGGCGTTATTTTCGTCGCCGTTTCCCGCGGAGCGTGCGTTCTGGCGCTCGCTGCCGCCGCCGCCGCCATCCCCACCACCACCACCACCACCACCACGCTCTTCTGCTACAGCCTCCCGCATCACCACCTGCTACCTCCTCTGCTACAGCCTCCGCCACTCAGCCTCCGCCACCTCCCCTGCTACAGCTCCGCCACGCCACCGTTAACCTTCCCTTCTACAGCCTTCGCCTCCCCCTCCACCACATCCTCTGCTACGGCCTCGCCTCCGCCTCCGCCACCTCCCCTGCTACAGCCTCCGCCACCGCCACCGTTACCTTCCCTTCTACAGCCTTCGCCTCCCCCTCCACCACCTCCTCTGCTACAGCCACCGCCTCCGCCTCCACCTTCGC